CGTCGCTGTCGTAATTATAATGTTTTTCTAATTAAGGCAAACAAGCTTTCACCAAAATTTGATGACATCTCTATGTATAGAGTTTAGTTTTGATAAGTATCAATCAATCTTTATAAAAAATCTGTACAAACTCTTCATATAAAATAATAAAAATGACACTGTAATTAAAAAAAAAAAGAAAAAACATATTTCTCAACTGTTTTTCATAGATAACTTGTACCAATTTATTTCATTAAACATTCACGGATGGGTCATTTGTTCATAGGTAAAATCTTGAATTATTTTATATTCTAAGAACATGTGGTTATTTTTTTTATGATTTTATCGATTTAATTGTGTGTCTAGTGTCAGATACTTATTGGTATCTCAAAAATCGTATAATATCTAGATTTTTTATGCTAAGCAAATCTTAAAAATGTATTAATATAATAATTATATGTAATCGCTTTATCTTGAAGAGAGAAGGGAGGGATTACACAGTACAAGTACACCAAACCAAGTGACCTTGAAAGAGTTAAGGAGCGGTCCCATAATATTCCTGCGGTTAAGTGGGACCCATCACCGCCTCAAATAGATCGTAACCCTTGGATTGGTTGGTGTATGGGTCCCATCTGATCCAACGGTTCTATATCTTTTTTCTCTAAACAATAACTCTGGTTCGGTCTCACCGACACAAGTCCGGGTAACTTGTTTTCTCAGTTTTGTCTTTTGACAGAATCATAATTAACTACTTTCATTAGCTTCGAAAATTAACAAAAGAACTTTTTTTTTTTTTGGGTTAATTTTGCACTTGAACTCTATTTGTTTATTCAAAATTGTAATAGTAACAGCTTGTTTTATCTGATGTTTAACTCAAAACTTTTGTCCCTTTTTATTCTTCTTCTTTTGTTTCGTAGTTTATCAAAGAAAGGGAAATGACAGATAATATATTGGAATATTCGGAGATTCGATTGGCAATTTGCAGAAATGCCCGCCAAAACAATTGATTCGTTTATTTTTTTATATCTCGACCACTTCACTCCGACCTAGTCATCTTAATTGGGCCTATATCTGACCTTTTATGGGCCTTGACCCAAATGTTTGGGCTTGACTTACATTTTATGCTTAAACAACCATATTTGTGAGTGACAAGAGTTCAGTGAGATTTTTTTTTTTGTAGCAATCTTTCACTAAAAATAATAATTGTGTGAAGAAGAGGGAGAAGCAACGTTTCAGGTGAAGGTCTTAAGGATATCAAGAACGAGACTGTTGATCTGGTAATAC